CTCTTCTGCCTAGACAATTATTCCAGTGAATTTTAGGACCCGCAAGATTTTGATTCTAGTTCACTAGCAGATAGTGCACATCTGAAACTAATGACATATTTCATTGTAAGCAAAATTTTGTAGAGATTCACATATGCATAGGGTCATCTTAGAAATTTCAAATGGTGAAGATCGACTAGAAAAGGGATGACAGAGAAGGTCATCGGCTCTTGGACAATTTTCCCAGTTATTGTCTTGATGGCTGGATCATGGGCTCTATCAGCCATTGACAAAAATTTTGACAACCCCAAATCACATAACTTTGTGGACTTTCAGAAAAACGATTAAAGTGTCAAACCATATGATGTATAAAAAATAGTAACAAAATGAATTTAAGTATAAACACGCCTAAAAGATAAAATTCTAACGATAATAGACCTTTATGGTGTATCTCAAACTTTGTTGATCCACAACGTTACATATGTGTATGTTTGTTTGATGCAGGGGAAACTTAAAAGTTAGTCTATGTCAAAAGTGTGAAACATTTTAAACCTTGAGCAACCCTGTGCTTATCATTGTTATAAAACATAGCCAAACACTTACATATATTTCTTAATCAGAAAGGTTTCTTTAGTTCACATTTTTATATATGGCAAGGTTAACTAGATATTAAGAACATATACCACATGCTTAGTGAAAAGCATATCTCACACGGGCAGTCCTTAAAAGTTGTGATTTCACTCTCAAACTAGCAAGCCTAGCAAATAAAGGTGTTCTAAGCAGTGAATTTTTTTGACATGCAAACAAAACTATTCCACAGAATTAAACTAAAGATCCAGACACAGGGGCGGTAGTTTTTTTTGCAGTGGATTTAGCTGATCCATAACTGAGTATAGATATATATGTGTAAACCTACTAAAATCTCAACAAATATTAGATTTGAACTCATAATTTTAACAGTACAATGAGTTCAATGCGGAAAATCTTAAAAGTTGAACCCATTAAATTTTAATATTGGATCCACATTTGTCCAGACATAGTGGGAAGCTCAAACACCAGAATATTTTATTTTCTCAGACATACTTTCTCGTCATCCTTAAAACACAAGTGTTCATACTTGCGTCTTAAAGGACATTTCAAAAGGAAATACTTTTGTTTCCTAAAATTATTTGCTCATCTGAACCTAACAATGAAAGGGATCAATTACTATCAAACCCTAGCCACAATTCTTCATAGCAAGCCCAATACTCGAAGTTATAGACCTCACGCCAAAACAATCAGTATTAAATAGAACCAATTTCAAAGACTATCATTCTCAACAAGAACTGTTCAGCGAGAAACAAAAATATTGATTTAAACCCAAAAATGAAAAGACGAAGAAAATAGACAAACCTTTTCAAATAGACATATCTTGTCATCCGATTTGCGAATTTTCAGCCACTTTAGACAGAACCAAATGAGACTGCCGACTTTGAGAGAGGAATTTAGAGAGCCCATGCCCTTTCTAAGCTTTAAAATAGAAATGATAGGGTTTTATTATGTGAACGAGGAGGTGTTAATAAATACATTTTTTGTTTCTTTTTACATTGTCACTTATTTCCTTTAAAAATATATCATTAGGGACGAGATGTTTATTCTTTTATGAACCAGATTTAGAGTGTTCGCTAACTTCAAAAATAATAGTTAAAATTAAAGACTAGAAAAAAATATCGTCCCTATAAGTATAGTATTAGGGACCATATTATAACCCCGTCTCTAAATGTTGGTCTTTAATAAGCAGTTTTCTTGTAGAGTTTTTTTTTTTTTTTAGAGAATGGGTATTTCTTGAATTACTTTGGATCAGGGAATGAACATGTAATTGTTTTGAGTGTGTAACATCTCACAAATTGAAATAACTAGGAATAAGTTAAGAATTGGAAATAGTGATTTTTGGAAAAAATGAAAATTTGGAAATTTGCTTAAGTTAGGTTAAGAATGAGTTTTGAGTCAACTTTAAACAATCATAACTCCTAGCTCAGTATGATTTAGGTATGGTTCCAGGTATCGTAGGAAATATCTTGGAATAATCTTTCCAACACCGCCGAGTTTGCACGATTTCGAGTTCGTATGAGTGAGTTATGCCCATTGGAAGTTGGGCCGTTCAAGTAAGGAAAGTCTAAAACCGGATTTTGGAAGGGTATTTTAGTCTTTTCCTTACCCAATTGCTTTTGGGATTTTAATTGGGGTAAAATCAGATTTTAGTCAGTTTAGAAAAGTTGAAGTTCACGCTAGGGCTTGGAGAAAAGAGAAAAGACGAAAAAGGAGAAGAGAAATCAAGAATCGATCAAGAATGTTTGAGTTTGGTTGTGGATTTCACCAAGGATTCAATCCTACGAGATATGTGAGATCACATAGCATTGGGTTAGTTCACTCACGCGCCAATCATGATTCAATTCAGCAAAGTTATTTTGATTTGAAAGTAAATTCTATGAGTTCTTGATGAAATTCGTTTGAAATCTTGTGGGTTATTGTTGTTGAAGTTCCTTCTGTTTGATTCATGATTTTAGGTGTGATTTCGAGTAGAATCTAATGTATTTTGAGGGTTTAATCGATTCTAAGTGTTTGGGGAAAGAACCATTGGAGTTTAAAGGGTTTAGAGTTGAAAAACGAGCAAGAAAAATCGTCAAAACCTGGGGAAAGGGGTAGGGCTCCGCGCCAGCCAGTGCGCCCCAAAATGTTTTCTGAAGTTTCACCCCTGGGGAGCTGCGCCTACCAACGCACTCCAACTTCAGTTCTGAAGTTTTGGGTCTGGTGCCCCGTGTTGCTCAGAGCGCCAGGAAAGCCAGGTCTTCTACTTTTTCCCCCTATTTTCCGTACTAGTTCCTTAGCAATGTACCTATGCTTTCTAGTTGATTCCAACACTCTAAGGTACGTCTAAACATCATGAATCATCCATAAACATGAAATCATGAACCTTGAATCCATAACTCAATTCAAGGAAAGTTAAGAGTCAAGTCTAGAAGTTAAGAAGCAAGTCAAGAGAAGTTCATAAAGTTTTCAAAATACTTACGCAAACGTTTTAACTTTGTTTTAAGACTTAAAGTTCAAGTTAAGTAAAGAGTAAAGAGTAAAGATTGAAGTTCATTTCTTCAAAGAAATATATGGGGACTATGTATTCCCGAAGAGTTTAAAATGTTTTCACATTTGAGAAAGAAAGGGAACATCGATTCCAAGAGAGCTTTTAAGCTAAGTTTTGAGTAATTATCTCAAACCAAAGAAAGAAGTTTGTTTTAAAAACATATGAGCTAAGTATATTTTGAGAGTAGTATTGAGCACCGATATGGGGATGCGCGTTCATATTAACTCAAGTTTCCATAAACCATGTAGCCATCATGAGTAGTAAATGATCATACTTTTTAGATGACTCCTTAAGTTGCTTTCTAGCATAGACTAGTGGATCCACTTAGTTAAGGCGTTCTATATGACGACAAAGTATATGACAGTTCTAGCAGCATGGACAAGACGTTGTATCACCACTTAGGCTCATAGTGGTGGTTGTCGGTTAGAGAAACTCCCATAGAAACTATATTACTTTATTATATGAGTAAACTTGAGTTTTTTATTACATTTTCTTTAACGAACTAAGTTGTTTTCCACTATTTTTTTACAAGTTTTCTATATATTGCATGTGTTTTATTGCTTTATATTGAGTTAAGTTATTCAAGAGTTGAGTAAAGCCAAGGTAAGTGTTCCTTTCAGATTCTTTTCAAGCCTATGCTATGTTTAGCATTCCAACTCGCATACTCGTACATTCAATGTACTATGCCAGTTGGCCTGCATCGTCTTATGATGCAGACGCAGGTGGAGGATCAGCATTCAGCGCCTCGTTGATCAGGTTGAGCACTTAGAGTCAGTTGGTGAGCCTCCTTGCTTTTTGGAGGGCTCCTTTTTACATTGCTTTCTAGTTTTCAGTTGTTAGGATGATTGGGGGTCTTGTCCCGACATCCCTTTTTGTTTTAGAGGCTTCATAGACAGATATTTATAGTTCTTTAGTTTTATTCATTTTAGTTGTATACATTTTAGACTTGAGTTGTCATCTTGGCTAAGTTATTGCATAAGTTATGTTTCTTATGTTTAAGTCTTCCGCTGAGTAAGTAAGTCAGGCCAAGGGTTCGATTAGGGCAAACATTGGTTCTCGAGTCCCAGTCCCGCCCAGAATGTAGGCTCGGGGTGTGACAAACTTGGTATTAGAGCACAGAGTTCAAGAGTCCTAGGGAGTCTATGAAGTTGTGTCTGTAGAGTCCTGGTTATCGGTGTGAAGCGCGCCACATCTATAATTAGGAGGCTGCAACACTTAGGAAAATTTCTCACTTCTTTCATACTCATTTCATGCGTTAGAATTTGATCTTTAAAAAGTTTCTTCTAATTAATGCTTGCACGTGTTTTTAGATAATTATGCTCCACGAAGAGCTGTAAGAGGTCGTCTTGCTAGACGTAATGTTGAGGAGCAAGGGGTACCCAATGCACCTGAAGTGCAACCCCAAGGAAAAGCTACTAATGTTGAGCTCAGAGAAGCAATAAGGATGCTAAGTCAAGTTGTGACTAACCAGGTTGGGCAACAAAGAGGAGCTCTACAAGAAGAGGCTGACACTTCGAGGATTCGTGAGTTCTTGAGGATGAACCCTCCAAGTTTCACTGGTTCAAACACTACTAAGGATCCAGAGAACTTTATTGAGGAGTTGCAAAGGGTATTTGATGTCATGCATGTTGCTGATACTGAGAGGGTGGACCTAGCTGCATACTAAATGAAGGGTCTCTATTATTTGGTTCGATCAATGGAAGAAGAACCTAGCTGGGATGCACCACCTGTGAGTTGGGCATATTTTGAGAAGGCTTTCTTGGGGCATTTATTTCCCCGAGAACTGAAAGAGGCTAAGGTACAAGAGTTTCTCACACTTAAGCAAGATTCCCTAAGTGTTCATGAGTATGGGTTGAAGTTCACCCAGCTATCCCTTTATGCTCCAGAGGTGGTTGCAGATATGATGGGTAGAATGAGTTTGTTTGTGGCTGGGTTGTCCCATCTATCAAGAAAAGAGGGCAGGGCAGCGATGCTAATTGGGGACATGGATTTATCGAGGTTATTGGTATATGTGCAGCAGGTTGAGAAAGAGAAGTTAAGGGATAGGGAGGAGTTTAGAAACAAGAAGGCTAAGACAGGGAATGAGTCCAGGATTCAGCAAAAGCAAAAAGGGTCTGCTTCATCGTCTGCTAGTGCACCTGCACCCAGAAACAAAGGTGAGTATAATAGCCAGAATTCTCAGCATTTCAGAGCTAGACCTGCACAGTCTCAGGGTAGTGTGGCACAAGGAGGTAACTGGGCTCCTTCATGTGCTAAGTGTGGTACAACCCACCCGGGTAAGTGTCGCGATGGCTCCAAAGGTTGTTTCAAGTGTGGACAAGAGGGTCACTTCATGAAAGAGTGCCTTAAGAACCGGCAAAGTAATGAAAATCAGGTCAATAGGGCCTAATCTTCATCAATTGCTCCACCAGACAGGGCTTCACCTATAGGAGCTACTTTCGGTACTGGCGAAAGAGCAATCCATCTCTACGCGATCACTAGTCTCCAAGAGCAAGACGACTCTCCAAATGTTGTCACTGGTATGATTAAAGTCTTTAATTTTGATGTTTATGCTTTGCTAGACCTAGGAGAAAGTTTATATTTTGTAACCCCTTATGTTGCAAATAAGTTTGATGTTCTTCCTAAGAAACTTTGTGAACCCTTTTGTGTTTGTATACCTGTTGAGGAGTCTATTCTAGCTGAGCGAGTTTATCCTGATTATGTAGTTTCCATCAATCACAAAGAGACCATAGCTGATTTAATTGAGTTAGACATGGTAGCTTTTGATGGCATTCTAAGTATGGATTGGCTTCATGCCTGTTATGCCTCCATTGATTGTAGAACTCGAGTTGTTAAATTCCAATTTCCTAATGAGCCAGTCTTAGAGTGGAAAAGTAGTTCAATAGTGCCTAAGGGTCGTTTACTTTCGTACCTTAAGGCGAGAAAGTTAGTTTCTAAGGGTTGTGTCTATCACTTAGTCCGAATTAATGACTCTAGTGTTGAGATACCTCACATTCAGTCAGCTCCTATAGTAAAAGAGTTTCTAGAAGTCTTTTCAGATGATCTACCTGGAGTTCCTCCTGAGAGAGAAATAGACTTCGGCATAGACATTCTTCCCGATACTCATCCTATCTCTATTCTTCCATATATAATGGCACCAACAGAGTTGAAAGAGCTTAAATAACAGTTGAAAGATTTCCTTGATAAGGATTTTATTCGACCAAGTGTCTCACCTTGGGGCGCTCCGGTCTTATTTGTGAGAAAGAAAGATAGTTCCCTTAGGATGTGTATAGATTACCTCCAATTGAACAAGGTTACCATCAAGAACAAGTATCCACTTCTGAGAATTGATGATCTTTTTGATCAACTTCAAGGTGCTTCTTGTTTTTCTAAGATTGACCTCAGATCTGGCTACCATCAGTTGAAAGTAAGGGAGTGTGATATTCCCAAGACATCATCAGGACCCGTTATGGTCATTATGAGTTTCAGGTCATGTCGTTCGGTTTAACCACTGCACGTGCAGCGTTCATGGACCTTATGAATAGAGTATTCAATCCTTATTTAGATATGTTTGTTATCGTATTCATTGATGACATTCTAATCTACTCAAGGAATGAGGAAGATCATGCTAGCCATCTCAGAATAGTTCTTCAGACTTTGAAAGATAAGGACTTATATGCTAAGTTCTCTAAATATGAGGTTTGGTTTGAGTCTGTGGCATTCTTGGGCCACATAGTTTCTGGTAATAGAATTAGAGTTAATACCCAAAATATAGAGGCAGTGCAGAATTGGCCTAGATCCACATCTCCAATTGATATTAGGAGTTTCTTGGGTTTGGTTGGCTATTATAGAAGGTTCGTGGAGGGGTTTTCATCTATTTCATCCCCTTTGATCAAATTAACTCAAAAGACAGTGAAGTTTCAATGGTCTGAAGCTTGTGAGAAAAGCTTTCTGGAATAGAAAAAGAGGTTGACTACGGCCCATTATTGACCTTACCATAAGGTACTCAAGGTTTTGTTGTGTATTATGATGCATCTAGAGTTGGTTTGGGTTGCGTGTTAATGCAGAATGACAAAGTTATAGCTTATGCCTCCAGACAGTTGAAAGTTCATGAGAAGAACTACCCAACCCATGACTTAGAGTAGGTTGTTGTAGTATTTGCTTTGAAGATATGACATCATTATTTGTATGGTGTTAATGTTGATGTATTTACTGATCACAAGAGTCTTGAGTATGTGTTTACTCAGAAAAAGATTAACCTCAGACAAATGAGGTGGTTAGAATTACTCAAGGAATATGATATGAGTATTCTTTATCACCCAAGTAAAGCTAATGTTGTTGCCGATGCTTTAAGCAGGTTGTCTATAGGTAGTACCACCCATGTTGAGGAAGAAAAGATAGAGTTAGTGAAAGATGTGCATAGACTTGCATGCTTAGGGGTCCGACTAATGGATTCCATGGAAGGAGGAGTAGTGGTGATGAATGGGGCAGAATCATCATTAGTGTCAGAAGTAAAAGAAAAGCAAGACCAAGATCCTATTTTACTTGAATAAAGGCAAATGTTCATAAGCAAAAAGTATTGGATTTTGAACAAGGGGGAGATAGTGTGTTGAGGTATCAAGGCATATTGTGTGTGCCAAGGGTGGATGAACTACAAAAGAGGATCATGGAGGAAGCTCATAGCTCCAGTTATTCCATTCATCCGGGTTCCACAAAGATGTATTGCGATTTGAGAGAAGTTTATTGGTGGAGTAGTATAAAGAAGGGCATTGTAGAATTTGTTGTTAAGTGCCCGAATTGCCAACAAGTTAAAGTAGAGCATCAAAGGCCTGGTGGTATGGATTAGAATATAAAACTTCCGGAATGGAAATGAGAGATGATTAATATGGATTTCATCACAAGTTTACCAAGGTCTCACAGGCAGCATGATTCTATTTGGGTGATTGTCAATAAAATGACCAAATCAGTCCACTTTTTGCCGGTAAAGACTGCCCATTTAGTAGAAGATTATGCTAAGTTGTACATTCAAGAGGTGGTAAGACTTCATGGGGTTCCCGTCTCCATTATTTCAGACAGAGATGCGTAATTTACTGCACAGTTTTGGAAGTCATTTAAAAAAGGCTTGGGTTCAAAGGTGAACTTAAGTACTACTTTTCACCCTCAGACAGATAGGAAAGCAGGGTGCACTATTCAGACTTTAGAGGATATGTTGAGGGCTTGCGTGATTGATTTCAAGGGTAATTGGGATGATCACCTACCTCTCATTGAGTTTGCTTACAACAATAGTTGTCACTCTAGCATCCAAATGACTCCTTATGAAGTTCTTTAGGGGAGAAGATATAGATCTCCTATTGGATGGTTTGAATTTGGTGAAGCAGGGTTTATAGGACCAGATTTAGTTCATCTAGCTATAGAAAAGGTGAAAGTGAATGAAGAGAGGTTGAAAACGGTCCAGAGTCGTCAGAAATCCTACACTGATGTTAGGAGAAGGGAGTTAGAATTTGAAGTAGATGATTGAGTGTATTTGAAAGTTTCACCCATGAAAGGTGTTATGAGATTTGGTAAGAAGGGGAAGCTTAGTCCCCGGTATATTGGCCCTTACAGAATATAGTAAAGGGTAGGTAATGTAGCTTATGAGTTGGAGCTACCACAAGAGTTAACAGCGATTCATCCGGTGTTTCACATCTCCATGTTGAAGAAGTGTATGGGCGATCCTTCATTGATCATACCAATCGAAGATATTAGTATCAAGGATAGCTTGTCTTATGAGGAGATTCCTGTTCAGATTCTAGATCCCCAAGTTTGCAAGTTGAGGAAAAAAAGAGGTAGCATCAGTCAAGGTTCTCTGAAGGAACCAATTTGTCGAGGAAGCTACTTGAGAAGCTGAGGAGGATATGAATAAGAGATATCCACCTCTCTTCGAATCCGGAGAAATTCCAGATCAAGGTACTAATTCTTTTCTTAGTACTCTTTAATTTATGAGTTGGCATGCTGTTTTTGCATCTCTTGTGGGTGTTTGATCTGAAATTTTGATATTACACCCTTAGCCTAGTAAGAGTAATCTCATTCGAGGACGAATGTTCCCAAGGGGGAGATATTGTAACATCGCGCAAATTGAAATAACTAGGAATAAGTTAAGAATAGGAAATAGTGATTTTTGGAAATAATGAAAATCTGGAATTTTGCTTAAGTTAAAAATGAGTTTTGGGTCAACTTCAAATGACCATAACTCCTAGTTCAAGATAATTTAGGTGTGGTTCCATGTATCGTAGGAAAGATCTTGGAATAATCTTTCCAACACCGCTGAGTTTGCATGATTCCAAGTTCGTATGGGTGAGTTATGTCCATTGGAAGTTGGGTTGTTCAAGTAAGGAAAGTCCAAAATCGGATTTTGGAAGGGTATTTTAGTCTTTTCCTTACCCAACTGTTTTAATTCGTTTTTAGGATTTTAATTGGGGTAAAATCAGATTTTCGTCAGTTTAGAAAAAAGTTGAAGTTCACGCTAGGGCTTGGAGAAAAGAGAAGAAAGGAGAAAGGAGAAGAGAAATCAAGAATCGTCAAGAATGTTCGAGTTTGGTTGTGGATTTCGCCAAGGATTCAATCCTACGAGGTATGTGAGATCACATAGCGTTTGGTTAGTTCACCCACGTGCCAGTCATGATTCAATTCAACACAATTATATTGATTTGAAAGTAAATCCTATGAGTTCTTGATGAAATTCGTTTGAAATCTTGTGGGTTCTTGTTGTTGAAGTTCCTTGAGTTTGATTCATGATTTTAGGTGTGATTTCGAGTAGAATCTGATGTATTTTGAGGGTTTAATCGATTCTTAGTGTTTGGGGAAAGAACCATTGGAGTTTTAGGGGTTTAGAGTTAAAAAACGAACAAGAAAAATTATCAAACCTGGGGAAAGGGGTGGGGCGCCGCGCCAGCCAGCGCGCCCCAAAATGTTTTCTGAAGTTTCATCCCTGGGGCGCCGCGCCTACCAGCGCGCACCAACTTCAGTTCTGAAGTTTGGGTCTGGTGCCCTGCGCCGCTCAGAGCGCCAGGGACGCCAGGTCTTCTACTTTTTCCCCCTTCTTTTCGTACTAGTTCCTTAGCAATGTACCTATGTTTTCTAGTTGATTCCGACACTCTAAGGTACGTCTAAACATCATGAAATCATCCATAAACATGAATGAACCTTGAATCCATAATTCAATTCAAGTAAAGTTAAGAATCAAGTCTAGAAGTTAAGAAGCAAGTCAAGAGAAGTTCATAAAGTTTTCAAAAGTCTTTCGCAAACGTTTTAACTTTGTTTTAAGACTTAAAGTTCAAGTTAAGTAAAGAGTAAAGAGTAAAGATTGAAGTTCATTTCTTCAAAGAAATATATGGGGACTATGTATTCCCAAAGAGTTTAAAATGTTTTCACATTTGAGAAAGAAAGAGAACATCGTTCCAAGAGAGCTTTTAAGCTATATTTTGAGTAATTATCTCAAACCAAAGAAAGAAGTTTGTTTTAAAAACATATGAGCTAAGTATATTTTGGGAGTAGTATTGAGAATCGATATGGGGATGCGAGTTTATATTAACACAAGTCTCCATAAACCATGTAGCCATCATCGGTAGTAAATGATCATACTTTTTAGATGACTCCTTAAGTTTCTTTTTAGCATAGACTAGTGGATCCACTTAGTTAAGGCGTTCTATATGATGACAAAGTATATGACAGTTCTAGCAGCATGGACAAGACGTTGTATCACCAATTAGGCTCATAGTGGTGGTTGTCAGTTAGAGAAACTCCCACAAAAACTATATTACTTTATTATATGAGTAAAGTTGAGTTTGTTATTGCATTTTCTTTAACGAACTAAGTTGTTTTCCAATATTTTTACAAGCTTTCTATATACTGCATAGTTTTATTGCTTTATATTGAGTTAAGTTATTCAGGAGTTGAGTAAAGCCAAGGTAAGTGTTCCTTTCAGATTCTTTTCAAGCCTATGCTATGTTTAGCATTCCAACTCGCATACTCGTATATTCAATGTACTGATGCCAGTTGGCCTGCATCGTCTTATGATGTAGACCCAGGTAACCAAGATCAGCATCCAGCGCCTCGTTGATCAGGTTGAGCACTCAGATTCAGTTGGTGAGCCTCCTTGCTTTCCGGAGGGCTCCTTTTTACATTGCTTTCTAGTTTTCAGTTGTTAGAATGATCAGGGGTGTTGTCCCGACATCCCTCTTTGTTTTAGAGGCTTCATAGACATATAGTTATAGTTCTTTAGTCTTATTCATTTCAGTTGTATACGTTTAAGACTTGAGTTGCCATCTTGGCTAAGTTATTATTTCTTAAGTTATTGCATGAGTTATGTTTTTTATGTTTAAGTCTTCCGCTGAGTAAGCCAGGCCAAAGGTTCGCTTGGGGCCATCAATGGTTCACATGTGTCAGTCCCGCCCAGGGTATAGGCTTGGGGAGTGACAGAGTGTTATTGCCCATTTATGTACGTTTTTCTTAATTTTTGGGGTAAAGTTAGGCTCAGATGTCATATATTTCCTTGCACATAGTATCAGAGTCAGGTTCATCCCCATTTTTGGCTCCCAATCTAGCCTTCAGTTGGGCCTAGGCTTGAAGGAGGTGTTAAAGCGGATAATAGGTCTCACATTGATTAGAAAATAGACCGATAGTCTGTTTATATTAAATTGGAAAATCTCCCTAATAAACTAATTTTTGGGATTGAGTTAGGCACAAGTATCATATCTTCCTTGGAAAATATCTTCTTTTTCCTTTTTAAAGCAACTTTGGACCTTGCAAAATATCAATATTCCATTTAGAGGTATCAAAAATTAGCCCAACTATAAGTGACCCATCCAACCCACCCAAAATTTTAAGGGTTGGGCTCAAGATAATTTGAATTGGATTTAATCTCAATTCATTCAAGCCTTAACTCATTTTAAGAAAATCTTTAATTGAGTCTAATTTAATCTTCAATTTTCAATCCGTTTTAAGACTCTTTATTTAGATTGATGTAATGTATGTTCCTATATTTAAGGTATGAATCACTATCTATTTTATATCTTTTAGAATTTATCTATCCATTTGTAACTTCTTTTTTAAAATTTTATTGAGTTAAAATTCAAATTGTGGTTATAAAAGTTAAATAACTATATGTTAAAATTATGGGTTGGGTGGGTCATGACCCAACTCGATTTTTAGCCCATTTAAACCCAACCCATTTGAGCCCAAAGCAAACTTGGACGGGTCAAGACCCGACCCAATTTCTATTTCAACTCATTCTAATATCTCCAATTTCAACTCAACCCGCCTATTTAACATCCCTAATTTCATTAAATGAGATTTCTCAAAACCTGCATCAGCTTTGCGAAAATCAACTCTGATCATTTATTTACTATGGGTCTATGACTAATTGCAAGTTAACTCTATTTTTACTAGTGTGCCTAACCTTTTTTTTTTCAATTTATCTTGAAAATGAGATGTTAGACACCTTTAAATATCCATAACTATCATTTTCTTTTGAATTTTAATTTAAACTAGGTAGAATTCAATGATTAAATAGAATATTATTCTAAGTGAACATACAAAGTAATTGTAAATTAATTTACTAATTAATTATTATAGAAGAAGAGAACTCCTAGTAAATATTTTATTCATTTTAATTTATTTATCTTATTTTCCTTTTAGTTTATTTTAAAAAGAATATTTCTTTATGACAACTTTTTAATTTAATTTTTCACCTGATAAGTTTAAGATTACAAGATTAAATGATATTGTTATATGTTCAACGTATGGATGACAATGGGGCTGGGTCATAATAGGTCAATATCCAACCCAACTCAAATTTGTTTGGGGTCAAAAGACTCAAAACGGATCATGTTGGTCATAAAACAACAAGACTCAAAATAGTTTTTAAAAATTATTATGACAAGATTTTTCATGAATTAATATGCATTACATATCAACCAAATTTATAATGGATTGAAATGAGTAGAACTAATAAATAAGAAACCTAAACGGATTGGATGGACTGGATTTAATTTTACCTCTCCTAATTTTTTATTTTTTTGTTGATAGTAATTATGTGGTTCCCGTCACTAGATTGACATCTAATCTCATGAAAAATTAAAAAATTAAAAAATAAAAACTCACCACCCTAAAGCATCAAACTATTATTAGAACTAGTATAAGTGCCGGCGCATTACACGGATATTTTAAAATATTATAATATTTTAAATTAAAAATAACTACTTCCTATGTCCCAATTTATGTGGCACTTTTCATTTTTCGAGAGTCAAACAGTTTAAGTTTGTTTGGGAATTTGCGCATGGAATCATCAATTTTCTTGAAATGAAATTTATATATTTGTAAACTACGTAAAAAGTACTATAAGTCACAATAATTGATGATTCAAAATATTTAAAAGGTCTATGAAAAATTTACAGTCAAAGATAAGCTTGTTTGAATCTCGAAATCTGAAAAGTGCCACATGCCACATAAAATGGGACGGAGAGAGTAATAAAATTTATCATGCATTTAGTAATGTATATTTTAAAAATAATGATACAAATTATTAACTTATTTATTTGTGCATATTAAATTAATATGCATTTCTTAAATTGGTTATTCTTTCAAATCACAAAAGTTAACAATAATAAAATAATAATTAACAATAATTAAACAGCTAAATAAATTAAACAATGTAAATTAAAAACTTGATTTTAGTTGCATCCTCATAAATTATTTCAATTATCAAATAAGAAATGAAGAATATGTGGATCCCGAATTTGAAAAGTGGATACGGATGGTTTTAATAGCATAGAAGAGACGGAAAAAGTTTCATGTCATCCAAGCCTTTAATTTCCTACCTTTTTATATACCAAAAATTGGTGTGATAGTATCCGAGTAACTCATAAAATGATGTATCTATAGCCTTTCCTTATGTGTATTTAGACAAACACTCTTGAATGCTTCATTATTTGTGGCTGCAAAAAAGTCATAACGTCTTGGAGTTTACATGCTAAGATCAAAGCATTTGATTGAGAAGGTGTCCAATTCAAAAAAAATTCATAAATTGTTGCATTTTCAGGTAGTATGCCGTTTGTGGTTAATATAAGTTAGAATCGTGATTTGGAATTATAAATAAGATAATCATGTAATCTAGATTACAGTTAAGAATTTTAATAGTTATTTTTAATATAAATAAATGTTTTTTTCAAGAATTAAATTCTTGATCAGTTACCTAAATTTGAGGCCATCGTTGCAATTTTCGTAACTTAAAATTTAAAAAGTAATTGCAATTAAAAAATATTTTTAATTTGAATAGTTAATATTAAATATGTAAACTTCCAACAGAAAGAAGAAGAAGAAGAGTTCTAAGCGCGCATTAATTTAAGGTTGCACGTGTTTAGACTCCACCATGGAGAGTAATAATTTAAGCTTGCACATTTTTAGGACTCCAACTTGGAGAGTTAATATGCAGTTAGGAATATTTTAATTTTATTTTTTTCGTTATTATTTTTATTTTAATAATAAATATATTTTTTTGTGTGGTGCTAAAACATGATGATTTTTACCTCTCCTATTAAATATTGATAAAAGATTACGTGAATTTGTGTAGAATTTAGGTTTTAAATGGTATATAAAATGTTAAATTTCATTTATTAAAATTTTGTATATAGAAATAAACATAAACACAGATTAATTTAACAATAGAAAACGAAAAATAGATATTAAAATGGTTGGCTATATTTTCTGGAAACTAACTGATTAGCAATTCATTTTTTTTTTGCTATTATTATTGCCACCTGAACTCTAATTTAAAGCATTTTATATTTTATGAGAAAAACACTTAATATCACTGATTAGCAATTTAAATGCAGCTTAAATACTTGGTTCTCGTAAATAAAGATTAGCCAAAAGAAAAACTTTTTCCTGTAGCACACTTCAAAAAAAATTCCATACAAATATGAAATAACTTATCTATAAAAAAAAAATGTAATATCATTCTTGAAATTATGTTTGCACAATTGAACTTCATCAATATATTATATCATATCATATCTACTGATATATATTGTTAAGCAAAGTTAACTTCTATACTGATTTCACCCATGTAAAATGTTTATTTGAGTTTATTGTTAATTTACTCAAGTGTATGATGAAGAAATGAACATGATTATTATCTAAATGGCTTAATCTATCCATGAATCTGAATAAGAAAACGTCTGAACCTGTGTAGAAAATATAAATATTTAAGAATTCATACAACATAAAAATAACGTCAGAGATTAGAACAATTATATGAATCAATAACACATTACTGACTCTTTTAATAATTGAAATTTATATTAAACTACTGTGTCAAAGCTTCTTAGACTTATGATCCCTATACCATTTGACACCGCATTCTTGCATATTAATTGCAAAGCAAACAAAGTTGTTGTCTCTGATCCTATGACTAAAATTTGTTGAATAAAAATGAAAGAAAAGTAATAATAGATAAAAGAGGATTCAAACATGAAACAAATAAATAAAATAAAAAACAAACATGAGATTTATTATGAAAATATCAAACAATTAATTGGCAAGTAAAATTATTATGAAAATCATATGAAAAAAGTGAAATTCAAAAAATTAATTGACAAGTTTATTATGCACGGTTGTATTTTACATGAGATTGACAATTGTTGTATAATGTTTTATTCTCATTATTATAACAATATACTATTTTTGAATTAGTTTCATCTATAGACCTTGCTTTGAATTCAAAATAGATCCAACATATCCTTGATTTACTTAACATGACTCGATCAAATATAAAGAAGTAATTAGAAGCACTCACATATACACCTAAGTTTGACTTTTTATTTTAATTTAAAAACTACTTTTTTTTAAGCGAATCCAAACAGACTCTAAGATATTTTGCATTTTTGTCTTGTAGTCTTATCATTTTGCCTTCCATTTCCACCACAATTTCTCTTTTATCAGATAGTGCTACACCCTATAAGTAAAACTACAATTTCAACATTCAATTAGTACCAAAAAAAAGTGCTTCAAACTCCATGGCTTTTCTATGGGTAATAACTTTTGCACTAATTCCCCTGTTATTTCTTCTTATTCAACAACTTCAAAAAAAGTTCACTAACAAGAAACTTCCTCCAGGTCCAAGAGGTCTCCCTCTTATTGGAAATCTCCATATGTTTGGTGAAAATCTTCATCAAGATCTTGGAAAAATATCGAAAAAATATGGTCCCATAATGTCAATCCACTTTGGTCTTGTTCCTGTAATTGTTGCTTCATCACCTCATGCTGCAGAGCAATTCTTGAAAATTCATGATTTAATATTTGCTAGTAGACCTTCTAATGAAGATGCAGAGACCGTTTTCTACAATCGTAGAAATCTTGTCTCGTCTAATTACGGACCTTACTGGAGAAACATGCGTAAATTATGCACTCTGCATTTGCTAAGTAATGCAAAGATTCAATCTTTTCAACCTATGAGGAAAAAACAAGTTCAAATTCTGGTGGATTTGATGAAACAGGAACGTAATGTGATTGATGTTAGTGCAAAAATTGCGTCTCTTAGTGCTAACATGTCGTGTTTGATGATATTTGGGAAGAAGTATATGGATGAGGATCTTGGCGAAAAGGGGTTTAATGCTCTAATACAAGATATTTTGTGTATTGCTGGATTGCCAAATTTTGCTGAATTTTTTCCTTTTCTTCGAGTTCTTGATCTTCAGGGATTTACTCGTCGTTCCAAGGAATTAGCAAAGTTGTTTGATGAGTTTTTAGAGAGAGTGATTAATGAACATGTTTGTAATAAATTTAGTCATGAACAGAAGGATATGGTGGATACGTTGATGGAGATTATGCAATCTGGAGAAGGTGAATTCGAGTTTGATCGTAGGCATGTCAAAGCTATTCTACTGGTAATATTTTTTATTGAATTTAAATTCTCTTTCACGTTTTGTTCTTTCACATAAAATTTGAAATATTTTTATGTTTATTACTGATTTGGCATAAAGATTAAATATAAGTTATTTAAATATATTATTAGTACTATTTAATAACAAGGATAAAATAGACATAATATAGATAAATTAATCATTACTTTAATAAATTAAACAAGTATTATTAGATATTCTATAAAATAAGAGTTAATGCAGTGTTTTGGATTGGTGAAATTATTGTTGATTGTCTCCATCATATGATTGATCAAGTGAATGCCTAATAAATATCAGTCTCTAGCTAGTTCCTTCCAAGAGATAGTTATTATTATACTTTTTTCTTAGTGACCACATATATATCATTACTATTTGAGGGTCATTTGGTAGCTCAATAGGGAAGTATTAGATATTTACTCAAATCAAATATTATATGAAAAAAGTTAGTGTATTTATGTAGGGATAAAGTTATATAGATATTAGTCAAATCAAATATTATATTAATTTTACACATATTCTTAACTAATTATCAAACACAATATTACATATACATGATGTAATATATGTGAAATATTTCTCCTAACCAGGTACCAAATGACCCCAATGTAAAAACCCAATTGCAAAATGTAATCAATTTTCACTTTCTTTCAACTGATTTTATATGAATACTCTTATTGTATCAATTTGTTTATCTGATTTTAGTTCGATATAAAGTTTAAAAAGATAAGAAAAACTTTTGAATCTTGTGATTTAAATTTAAAATACGTAAAATGTATCAAAATATCTTTTGATTTTGTGGACTTAAATATATTGCGTGGAAAATAAATTAAAGAACTATAAAAAAAAACAAAAAAAAAAACTTTTTTCAACGAATTATTAATAAGTAGGACAAAAATGTACTTTGAAGAATTTTGCACTAGTTTTAAACCTTTGTAAATGATGCCCATTGTGGCATTGAGAATAGGGGAAAAACAAAAAAAAACACATATATTGATTCTCTTTGGGTAACTCACATTTTTCTTAATTACAATTCGAATTTAGGGAATGATATTAAACTTTGCTTAATATTTTTACTTGACTGACCAGTAAATGTTCTTGCTCCATATTTTTGATTGTATACAGAAAGCAAACTTGGGATTTTTGTAATTTTTTTTGTTGAAGTGTGGCATTTCATCTAAAAATTTAAATTATATTAGAAAGAACATATTTTTAGAGTATGTTCCGTATGATTGGAAAATGTTTTTTAATTTCATCATATTTCGTTGATCAAAATTTTTTAAAATATTTTGTCTAGGAAAAGAAATTTCTTTAAAATGATTAGAATGACTTTTCTAGTAGAAATAGGAAAACAAGTTTCACAAAGTGATATTCTATATTGATTGATTGCATTATTTGCATCCTCCAAACACACCTCAACTACACCCACGTATGACGTAGCCCCATCCCCACCACCCTACACTCCCTACATCTTATAATATTTGTATAGATTATATAAAAATATTTTTAGGATGATATTTTTTTTGTACATATCAAACACTAAAAAATAAGTAAGAAACCTACTTCTTTTCCTATACAAATAATTTCTTTTTTGTCGAATGCACCCTAATTTATTTAATAGTGCCTCAACACGCCCTAACGAGTGACTCAATTACTCAAACCCAGAAACTTCGTCTACTATGATATCATATTGAAGTATATGATCATCATCCCATCTATAAACATAAATATTATCGAGAGAACACATTTTTATTTATTTAATTATGTCTTACAACAATCTTAAATATATGTTATGAGCTTAATTAATAGCTAACTAAATAATTTACTTGATTTATATATATGCAGGACTTACTTGTAGCATCTATGGATACTTCAGCAACAACAATAGATTGGATTCTAGCAGAAATTCTAAGGCACCCAAATGTAATGAAAAAGCTTCAAAATGAGTTGGAACAAGTAGTTGGCAAAAATAGAATGGTGGAAGAATCAGACTTAGAAAATTTGGAGTATTTAGAAATGGTCATAAAAGAAAGTAGTAGGCTACATCCTGTTGCACCCTTGTTGATTCCTCATGAGTCGATTGAAGATTGTGAGGTTGATGGTTTTCACATACCTAAAGGATCCCGACTTTTAATCAATGTGTGGACAATTGGAAGAGATCCAGACATTTGGGTTGAGCCAGAAAAATTTAAACCTGAGAGGTTTCAAGGAAGTAACATTGATCTCCGTGGAAGACATTTTGAGCTTTTACCATTTGGTTCGGGCAGAAGAAGTTGCCCGGGTTTGCAGCTAGGGCTCACCACCGTTCGTTTGGTGCTTGCACAATTGGTTCATTGCTTTGATTGGGAATTGCCAAATGGCATGACCCCGAAGGATATTGACATGACTGAGAAATTTGGTTTAGTAACAACTAGAGTTCAACATCTTAGGTTGATTCCCAAGTATCGTTTACATATATAATTTATACTAAGTAAATGCAAATGTCAAACTAAGTTTTTTTAGGTGCATTTTCATATGGAACATATATTCTTCTATACAAGCTGTTTTACCATGTTATTATGGTCAATTACTTGGAATCGCCATTTTCGAGCCAAATTAATCCATCTTCATCATTAGTAAATAACTCTAGTGCAGTTCATAAAGTTATTTGACATGATTAATTCTGATCGGTGAAATGGCAACATGATTATGAAAGTGACATGTATTCCTCCCTATTATGCTTGATACTTATCGAGAAATTCTCTAATATAATTAGTTGGTTTTGGATATTGCTTATTCCATCTTGATTATTGTTATTTGTAGTTGCTAGATTGTCTTTGAATTGAGATCTTGTATATGATATTTGTGATTAATCAAGTGTTGACAAGGGTAGCATAGGACCAACCCTCGACATCGCTTCATGTAAGGGTCGATCAACAATGTTGTTGAGTGCAGGGGCGGATTTAGGAAGGTGGAAGGGGCTGGTGTCACGTAGCTTCATCGGAAAAATTTGCTAAATAGGTATACAATAAGAAATAAAAGCGGATATAACGGTTATATATTATAAGTGACACATTTTAAACAAAGAATGCATGTAACCTAGATGATTTTGTGCTCAAGAACCATAGTGAAGGTTTCGGTTACAGACCTCTACAGCCTCATTTTTTATGTGTTTTTTTCTTTGACCTTCTTTGTTTAGTAATAATTATTTGGTGCTTTGTAAATAAATAAATAAATAAATATATATATATATATATAAACTACATAAATGGGCCATAAAATTCAAAATAATTACAAGTCCATACTCATACTCAAATTAATTCCTGAAATACCCATTCTTTCATAAATAATTACAGCTCATACCCCAATTCATTAAGGCTGATAATTTTCGTTTAACTAATACCAAGTCAGTATCATATATTGGTATTATTAAGGCTGATAATTTTGTTTAACTGATACTAAATCAGTATATATATATATATACTATATTGGTATCATTAAGGTTTCTTGTTCAAAAATTATTCATTAGTCAATGATACAATCAGAGTATATGTATATTGTTGTGATATCATTAAGGTTTCTTCATCAAAAATTACTCATTAGTCAATGATACTATATGAGTATATGTATATTGTTGTGGTATCATTAAGGTTTTTTTATCAGAAATTACTCATTAGTCAATGATAATATAAGAATATATGTATATTGTTGTGGTATCATTAAGGTTTCTTGATCAGAAATTACTCATTAGTCAATGATACTATAAGAGTATATGTATATTGTTGTGGTATCATTAAGGTTTCTTGATCAGAAATTACTCATTAGTCAATGATACTATAAGAGTATATATATATATATATATATTCTATACTTTTATGGTATCATTGACTAATCAGTAATTTCTGAACAAGAATCTTAATGATATCAATACAGTATATATATTCTGATTTAGTATCAATTAAGCGAAATTATCAGTCTTAATGATACCAATATAGTAGAAGATACTGATTTAGTATCAGTTAAGCGAAATTATCAGCCTTAATAATACCAATACAATATATGATACTGATTTAGTATCAGTTAAGCAAAATTATCAGCCTTAATGATACCAATACAGTAAATGATACTTATTTTTGCTTATTTTCGCTTTCTACTCATTTTAAATGATTTGTACATTTACGGGTTCGCCTATGGAGAATGACGGGTACCCTCACGGCTTAATGTGATTTTGGATCGTGACAACACAACCCTTTACCCTACCTTAAAAGGTAAAATGATTGTTTCTAATAGGCTCTGACTAAAGCAAAGCATCACAAAAATTTTAAAAAATAATTGTTTCGGATAGGCTCTGACTTAGGTAAAGCATCACAAAAATCAAATATGTAAAAGCAAGTACAATAAATACTCCATTTGTCTCAATTTGTGCTTTGATCGAGAATTGGGTAAAATGTACTGTATAGTGCATTGAAACAAAATGCTCACACATATAAAATTTGTTACCAATTTTGTCCCGGCGGGGCTCGAACCCGCGACCTTCGGCTCATAAGACCAACGCTCTAACCAACTGAGCTACGGGACATGATGCTCATACTGGTAATCTAATTAAGTTTTAGATTATTTACTAAGTTTTCACCACTATGCTACCTTAAAACAGATTACTCCTCCATTCAATTAGAATTATACTACTCCCTCCCATATTATTTAGGAAAATTCCTAAAATATTTGTCAATTTGTAAAATTAATTCACTTTTTTATTTATTTTACCCTTAAAATTAAATTATTGTTGACTATGTTGAAAAAGTTAAAAATAAATTAGTAAAAGATACTTTTTATTTATAATTTCTTGGAGGGCATGTAGTACTAGAACCTGCGGGTTGTACGATATTAAAACTTCATATGAACTCAACTACGTTATCTTAATTAAATAAATATTATTTTACGTAATGTAAAAATCATATATTTCCACGGTCTTAAAGTCATGTTTAAGATTTGTATTAAAATTGCTTGTCTTGCAATCTAAATCTGTGAGAATTTCTACATGTAGGTTTAATGAATCCTAATTATGAAATTAGTAATTTATATTTATTGGAATGTTCTATATGTTTTGGGATTTAAGTCTATCTAGTGGAGAAAGCAATTGCACTGGAATAGTTTTTTTTTAAATTGTTGCCTATGCATTGTATCTTACTTGCATACCATTATATATTTCTTTAATTCTAAGGAAAATTATTGAATAACAGGTTGTTATTCTAGATTATCCATTTAACTAAGCATTATTATTATTATTATGTTAGTACTTTAATTTAGATGTAACCACAATACAATAGGGGCGGATTTAGGAGGCAACGACGACATTGTATATATGAGGTATTTTTAAGAAAAAAATTAGTGTGTATGTGTAGATTGAACAAAAGACTAGAGGTTAGATTAATTAGTGATTTAAGAAATTCAAAATTCATTGTGAAGTTCCGAATTAAAATTCTAGGCACTATATTTATGCTTATCGATCTTCCAATGATTTAAATCTTTTCTAAACTTCTTGATGAAAATTATGGATCTGTCATCGAATACAATGCAAGTCAAATTTTTTTGCACACTACTAATAATAACTCTAGCCTTGTTGCATAACAAAAATTTGAAATTACTATATATGTGGCCTTGTCCTTTCCTTCTAATGGATCCAATATGTTTGTGTCCGGTCACATTTTAATTTTCAAATAGTGAAGATACTTAATATGTATCTCAACTTGTCATCTTTTGTTGTAACATTTCGAATTTCAAAAAAAATAGGATTGCATTAAATTGCGGCATCAAGTTCATGTCTACGAGATCAATCTATAGTTCGTAGGATTTTCTACGGGTCTTAAATCAGTCCCGTAGAAAGGGAGAAAATATTTTTTTAAAATCAAGTTCTAATACCTCTTCTACGATTCATCGGGATGGTCCATCAATATTTGTACGGTCATAGATAGGTATCATAGGTGGGTTTCAGACTTCGTGAAATTTTAAGGGGTCGAGTTGATTTTTACGGTTGGTATCTACGAACCATAGGTAGACATACGAGTCGTACAAGAAATCCGTCAAAGTTGGGTAAGATTCATGGTCCCAGTACTTGGTCTTCGGTTGACCAGTACGAACCTTAGAAAGTTTTACAGTTCGTGGGTCGGAATCGTAGATCGAGTCACACAGTTATTTTCAAGGACTTTTGGATCTTTTCGTAATTGTTTTAAACCAATTCTATGTCGCTTTGTCTCATATCCTAAGCCCTATATAAAGCTTTTAAGTCCTAAAACTACACACTTCAAACCCATTCTCCTAATTCCCCATAACCTAACCAAACTCACTCCCCAATTTCCTCTCAACCTAGAGAGGTGGAGGAGGAGGAAGGGTTCAATCCAAGTCTCCAATTCACCATTCATCTTGGTCTTTGAGTAGCAAGGTATGTGGGTATTCACCCATGGAGTCCATTCCATCATGGGGTCCCCAAGGTTTCCATGGGGTCCTCAAGGTTTCCAGTTTCTCAATTCAACTTCAATTGATCAAGTTAGGGTTTCAATTTAATCTCTATGGGTTTCATTCAATTATGATTTATTATTGTTTATTAAGTCTTTTAATGCATGATTAAATAGTAATACATAATATTTAGTTGAAATTATATTGATACATGCCTAATTTATGATTTTCAACTATGAACCTCATCATATGAACCCACGAACTATGAATTTTGAAGAATTATGTATGTCGTATTAAATTGATGTTTATGATGAGAGTGTGATTTTAAATGAAAGTATCGATGTTGTTGTGATTTGTGAAAGGTTTGCTCACATATGAATATGATCATGATTTGTGAAAGACATTTCTCACATACAGATTCACACTAGTGAAAGGTTTTCTCACCTATGTTTGAATTGCAATTTAAGAATCTATTCTATGTTTTGATATTTAAGATGTGAATTGGTATTGATCATTGTCGTTCCTAGATTATACTGTTAGTTGACTTTTATCTATTCCTTTGGGATTTAGACTTAGCACCAAGAGGGCATTGAGATGGAGGCTCAAACAGGGTAGTCTCTAGTAGCAATCCTAGCCCCAAACTACGTGCTAGTGGATCCACTTTAGCAAAAGATGATATGTATGGGTTCTACTTTGGCAAGTAGAATCCCCTTCTTTCGGTACGAGAGATATACCGGATTCTATGATATATATCTCATGGTCTTATTGTCTGTTAAAGCTAATACTCCTCAAAAATGACTATATTTCTTCAAAGCTTTTCGTATGTCTCTTATTTAATGTATTGACCATATTTCATTAGTCACATGTCATAATTGCTCCTTTAAGATTTTAATTATTTAAATATTGATCATGCTTACATGTTTTTAAGTCATTCATACTACTATATCTATTTTATGCATATTGCTTCATACTTAGTACATTTCATGTGCTAAAGCATACTTGTGTCTGCATTGTCTCATTAATGTAGG